GGGGGGGGGGGGGGGGGGTCAGCAGGGGGTGGACCTGGGCAGTTCTGTGTGCTGCAAAGATTATTCTGGGGCCAAGTTGAAGACAGCCTGGTGGAAGCAAAACAGGAAGCAGGAAGGCTGGTGTAAATTAGTCCAGGAGAGGGGTGATGGGGCTTCAAAGAAGGAGCAATCCCCAGGTCCTGACCCTGAGCTAATGGATAGACAGCATCCATCTGAGAACCAGGCCAGGCAAGCTCCATGTGAGAAAGTGGGGCCCCTTACCTGACCAGAGTATTATTCAGCCACAGCGATGGTAATGACAGGCACTGTGGGACAGGTGCAAATAGTTCCCACAACTGTGATTTATTTGCTGGATGGCACATGGATTTGTCTCTGCCATGGACCCCAGTGCCTAGAATAGGGCCTGGCAGAGCAGGTGCTCAATAAATACTTGTTGAAGGAAAAAATACAAGCCAGGGCACCTGGGCCTGGGTCCTGAATCTGCCTCTTATCAGCTGTACAACCTGGCCCAGCTGTGCTTCCCTTTCTTCCTCTGTCAAAAGTTGCCAGGGGGGCAGGGGAAGTCCTCTATAGTTTCCAAGACCACTTCTGCCATCATTAGGGCTGCCTGGGCCTTTGAGTCAGCACCCCCATTCCTGTCCACCAGGGGGCACAGAGCTCAGCCCAGGCAGCAGTAAGTGCCCTGGGAGGGAGGACCAATGACTGGCATCTCTCAGTGCTTTCCCCCTCGTTTCTGGAGCTGCCTCCCAAAGTGGCATCAGGACAGACTGCCCAGACAGAAGGCCTTGAAAGATGGGGAAAGGAGAGATGGAGGACCAACCCTCTATAGTCCAAGGACCCTAACACAGAATTCAACAGCCATCGCCTCCCACCAAACACAGGAGGAAAGGGAAGCCCAGACAGGCTAAGTGACTTGCCCAAGGTCTCACAGCTAGGATCTAAGTAATAATAGCTATAATAACAACAATGAACATTTATAGGGTGAACTCATTTAAGCCTCAGAGCACCCTCTATAAGTTATTTTCTGCTTTTCTTCCCATTTAATAGATTTGGAAACTAAAAGCACAAAGAACTGTCCAAAGTCACACACTTAGGCTATGACCTCGGGCCTTTTCCCCCAGCTCCCCCAACCCCTCCAGTCTATACCCCTCCACACATCCTGGCAGGCTGTCCCAGGGTGCAGGAGTAGCCCCCCTTACCTGGATGTGCATTCTGGCACGACGCAGCAGGCTCAGTGTGGTGTATCGGGCACAGTCGGCCCCCAGGGGCATCTGCTGCTTCAGCTGCTCCAGGCACAGCTTCAGCTGGGCCCTCCTGTGGGGGAAGGGGTCTGGAGGGCAGTGCCAGCCCCACCTTGCTGGACAGAGGGATGGCCGGGAGGGGATGACCAGAGGGAGATGGTTCCTGGGGCCTGGTGCTCACAGGGCAGGGCTAGGACTCACCTGCGCTTTTCCAGCTCATTGTGCACAGACCTGCCAATGCCAGGGAGGATGGTGTGAGGGGTTGTCAGCTACTGCCCACACCCTCAGTCCCAAGGCCCCCAGGGGCTCAAAATCCACTAGAGATGTCTGCCCCAAATAAACCCCCTGTAAGGACCTTGAACAGGTATTGGGGGCACCAGAGCCCCCAAGCAGGGGCAAGGGGAGTCAGAGACACACACAGAGCCAAATGCTAAGAGAGGCCAGGCCAAGTGGCTATGAGGGTCCAAATGAGGCCTCCCTGGCAGCTGGTAAGGAAGGACTTCCTGGCCAGAGGTGACAGTTGAGCTGAGTGTAGAAAAGAAGTTTCCCAAAGCGAGTAGTGGAGACAGAGGCATTCAAATTTCAGGGAATAGCATGTGCAAAGGGGTGAGGCAAGCAGAGAAAAGGAGGAAGCCTGTGGAAGAGTGAGTGGTTTGATGTGTGGAGTGTAGGAGTGTGAGTGCAAGCGGGACTCAGAACTGTCTTGTTTATGTTCCTTGCACATCAGAGGTGCTCAAGAAATAGTCTGAATGGATAGGAAGGTGTGAGTGTGTTTGGGGAGAAAGGAGATGGCAGGAGGGGTCTGAACGCCTCCCGGAGCAGTGTACCTGGTCCGATGCAAGCAACAAGGAGGAAGTGAGCAGAGGAGGGGCCCAATGAGGGATGGCGCCCATCCCCCATTCCCGCCTCCCCCCTCCTTGTCCTCCTCACCGCCCACTGTCCAACGCGCCAGGAGTTTGAGGGGGTCGCTTCCTCCTCCTGTGGATGGGGCCTGGACTGCGGTGCAGGCACAGGGACGCGTAGCCATGCTCAGCCTCTGCCAGAGAGAGTCCCCACCCGCGTCAGGCTGTGGCTGGACCCGGTCCCAGCGGGAGCCTCTGGCACGGCACGGTCATGGAATGGCTTTTGGCTCCGGGACCATTTTCCCAGCCTTTCCCAACCCTTCCCTGCCCGACCGCCCGCGGACTCCTCTCGAGCTGAGGGCGAGGACGCCCAGGGGCTACTGCCCTAGGGCCATGCATCCTTCAAATTGGGAGCCAAATCCAGTTCAGGCCCGTGTCAGCGAGGTCGCCGCCCGGAGTCCGGCCAAGGGTTCTTCCTCACCTCTATCGCGGCGCTCCAGGAACTCGGCCGCTTGCAGCAGGACCTGTATGTTGCTGGCCACGGGTGGTTCCATTTCGGCGACAGCAGGCGGCGGGAGGGCCTGGGGTGCTGACCAGAGCAGCGGCTGCACCACTTTGTTACAATGTAACTGACACGGTGCAACAAACACAGGGGCCCGGTCCCGCCCCCGGGACGCCCCGCCCCCGGGACCGCCCCGGCCCCGGCCCCGCCCCTCTGGAACGCGCCCAGGAACCGCAGCCCACCCTCCTCGAGCCAACCCGCCCCCGAGTGGCCTCGGACTCTCGCGGAGCAGGTAGGGGAGCAGGATCCAGGCCTAGCCCTGAGGAGAGCCCCCGGGCGGCGAGGTGCTGCGTGTTTCTCGCTGCGCCCAACGACCCCACGCCGGTTCCTTGGCGTTTGGGGGCCTCAGTTCCCAGCCCCGTACAGGTGGTGAGCGCCCCGCACGTAGAACGGAGCTTTGCGGGTCAGGGGTCCCCTGGAGGCCCCGGGCTCATCCGCTGCACGTGGGAGCCGCGGGGGCGGGGCCGGCCGGGCGCCGCTTGCCCATTCGCCGGTTGCTTCCCGAGATTCGCTGTCGTCACCTTCGGGGCGGGGCCGGGGAGCCTCTGAAGCTCCATTGGCTGGCGCGCGGCCCCGCCCTCTCCCGCTGCTGGTCAACACGTTCGGGCGGGAAAAGAAGCAGGTTTCAAATTTGAAAACCAGAAGATGGGGGTGGGGTTGAACGGGGATCGGGGCCGCAATGCGCAGGCGCCGGCGGAGGGAACTCGGACCTGGCTCCTGCGGTCTGTTCGTTCCCGAGCCTGCCTGCCATATGCCCCCAGTAAGCCCCCGCTGGGCCTCAAGCTTCCTTTTGTGTCAAATGGGATAATCGCCTGGCTCCTCCTCCTCATCTGCAGGGAAGCTGTTGTTGCTACGAAAACCTCAGTGGGGTAACATCTTCCCAAACCAGGCCATACCATAGAAGCACGGGAACTGGTTCTTTAGGGAGCCCTTTATTCTGGAGCCGATGGAGTTGGGATTCTCTCCTGTCGCTGCTATCTCAGCTGGGTGTGACTCGGGAAGTGACTTCCCATGTCTGAGCTCCGGGAGACCTGCGACAGTGTTGAAGGATCAGAGCCAATGCCTGCACCGTGTCCAGTAGGAAGGAGCATCCCATCTCTAAGGTCGGTGCCACCAGACACAGGCTTCTGCCTCCCATGAGGCTTTTTGAACGTGACTTTCCTAGCCTTCCGAGGGAGTAGCTGCCAGCACTTCTAGGCGCAGCACCAGCGATTAACAGAAAGATGAAAGCAGCCGTAACAGTGTGGCCTATTACTGCCAGGCGTGGGCTGAGTGTGACCCAGTAACCCGGAAATAGAGAGCGGGGAGGATAGATTCTTTGTAAAAAGACAGTCCTGGGGTAAACACAGGCACATGCCAGTCAGTCCCGTTTCTTTGGGAAAAAACCTTGGAATTTCTTTGAGTCACTCCCAGAAGAACCACTGACATGCTCAGTTATGAACTGCAAAATATTTAGTGAGCCCTTACTGGACACCAGGCTCTGTACTGGGGGATGGAGGATACAACAATGGGCAAAAACAGATGGAGTGCCTGCCTTTGCAGAGCTCACAGGCTTGAGGGGGAGACGGCCCAGTACAGCAATCACAGAAAGGTAGAGTACCAGTTTTGAAAAGACACAATGCTGAGGGCACATGCAAAGGAGCATTTGTCCTAATCAGGGAGGTCACAGGTTCTTCTGGGGAAATGGATGGATAAGTGTTATCTATGTATAGAAGGGATAGAAAATTCCAGACAAAGGCCCTTTCAGCATGTGCAAAGACCCTGAGGCTGAAAGGAATGTGGCAGTATGCAGAATGAAACAAGGCCAGTGTGGCTAGTGTAGACAGCAGAGAGAGCAGGCTGACACTGGAGAGGCTGGCGGGTCCCAGAACAGGCTGATGGTTCCTCAAACCCCCACCCTCAATTAGTTAGGTCTGAAGAAAGGCTTGTGAGTGAATTTCCGATTTTATTTCACTAATGTCAGCACCCATTCAGTGCAGGCACAAACTTCTAGTCAGACATCTGGGACCCTCCAGGCCAGGCCTGGCAGTTGGAGTAGGATGGGGGCAGGGAGGTTCTGAAGTAGGAGAGTTCCCAGCAGAGGGAGGGAGCAAGGCACACTTGAGGAACTAAAGACACCAACAGGAGGTTGTGGAAGTGGGCAGGGGCTGTAGGGAGGCTGGCGTACCCACACCCAGGAGCTTGGACTTCATCCTAGGAGCCATGGGGGGGATTCGAGCTAGAGAACAGCATGCAGGCTGAGGTCAACCTGGCCTCAGGCCTCCCATGAATATGAGTCAGGGCCACTGGCCGGGGGAGACAGGAGCAAAACCTTCCAGGGAGCAGGGCAGGTGGGGGAGATGAGGCTCGGATCAACAGGGCTCCTGCCACGAGCCCTTGGATGACACTCTGGGCCCCTCTAAGAAAATTTCTAGAGCTAGTGCCATCTGGGCCCAGAACTGGAGAGAGGAGCTCCAGGGCTCCTGCCCCCTCAGCAGTGACCAGTCTTCAAAAATCTGTCCTAGATCCCCAGAGTCCTGCACTGCCTCTGGGGACTCCAGGGTGCAGCCTGAACACTGGAACCCTGCGGCCCCCTTGCCCTGTGACCTTGCCACCCCTCAGCCTTGCCCATCCACAGTAATAGTGGTTATGCTGCCGGCACTTCAGTTCAGGTACTGTCAGGAACTAGTGTCCTTTGGGTTCCAAGGGACAGAGACTGCGCCTGTGCCCTGGATGGGAAGGGTGAAGGGGAACCCCACTCTCTTGCCCCAGTCAGAAACCCTTGAAGAGGACAGCCTGTCCTAGGCTCACCATCCCCTCCCACCCTATGGACAGGATGCAGGAGGAGATGGTCCTGCTGTTCCCCCCCAGAACGCTTTCATCTTCTTCCCTGCAGGTGAGAGCAGCATGGGAGTGGGGGGAGCTTGGGGGCCTGGCTCAGACCCTGCCCAGCCTCCTCCCTAGGCTCTCTGCCCCCTGTCTCTCCCCTTGCACTCATCCTCCCTTCTTCCCAGAGAGTAGCATTTCTTAGTCATGGAGTTAATCAGGTCACAGCACCACAGTGGCTCTCCAAGGCCCTCCTTTTCCGATTAGTTTGTCTGACATTAATATAATCACCACCACTTTTTTTTTTTTTTTTTTTTTTTGGG